TGGATGATGACGACGATGCTAATGATGATGATGATGTGGATGATCATGCTGATGATGATGTTGATGATGCTGATGATGACGATGCTGATGATGATACTGATGATGATGAGGAGGAGGAGGATGAGGAGGAGACGAAATGAGAGGAGGATGAGCAGGAGGAAGAGGAACAGGAGGCGTTGGATAGGTGCATACTTCTACGCGCTCCTCCTCATCCTACCCCTCCTCGAAGGCGCCACTCCAGTGCTCTTCGTCACCGTCATCTCTAAACCACCTCCTCTTACTCCTGTTCCTCCTCCTCCTCCTCCTCCGCCCTCCTCCTCCTCCTCCTCCTCCTACTCCTCTTCCTCCTCCTCCTCTTCCTCCTCCTCCTCCTTCCCCTCCCTCTCCCTCTCATCCTCCTTCATGTTGCCCCTCGGCACTGGTGTGCCTTCATGACCCTGTTCGTCGGCGCCCTGCCGCGTGCGTCCTGGCTCTGCAGGTGGTTGCGGAGGGGGAGCCAGTACAGCGATGCCCACGCTGCCTCTAGGGGGAAGCATTGCGGGTTCCTCGTTCACCCCGTTCCTCCTCCATCCCTTACCCCACCTTTTCTACATAATACATACCCTGTTCTCCACCTCTCCTCCTCGTGCTCCCGTCCTTATCGTCATCATCGTCTGTTCATTCGGGCCTCCGCACACTTCTGGGAGATGCGCAGCGTGTCCGTGATCGTGTCCAGCGCTTCTGCCATGGTGATCCACACCTGGGACTCACCCCCAGTGGCCCCATCCTCCCCGTCCTCTCTCACAGTCCTTTCTCTCGTCATTGATCCACCTTCCTCGCGCCTCCTCGTCACATCTCCCCCCCCCCCCTGAGCCACAATTCTCTTGCAGGGCTGGTCAGTGTCGTCCCATTCCCCGGCTGCTGGATCGTACGCTATCCTCATTTCCCTGATCGTTGTCACGTTCTTCCTCATCCTCGACTCTCCTCCTCAATCCCCCTCCTCGTGGATCCGTCCCCTCCTCGTGTCAATTGTGGTACTCTCATATTTTCCCCCATTGCACCTTGATCGTCACTTTGTTCGGACGCGAAGTGTACTCCTGCTGGTAATCCTCGAAGTTCGGGATCTTCGTACCTTGATGGGGCGACGGTGACGACACGGAGGATGGCGCACCAGGGGAATTAGCAGGAGTGAGCTGGCAATGCAATGAGAAGGAAGAGGAGGAGGGCCATGTGAAGGTGAGGCAGAGAAGGAGGCGGAGGAGGAGAAGGATGAGGAGGGAGGGGAAGGGAAAACCCTGTGCAGGAGCAGGAGCCGAGGAAGCATTGAACGCATGCTGATCGACCGAGAGGCAGATCTGCAGAGTTGGGCGAGGGCGAGGGGACGGATATCACGATAAGGAATGATTGAGAGGTGGAGGAAGAAGGGCACCCGCGATGACTGGCTGGCCCTCGGTGTACAGCAGCGCCTGATGGCTGGGTGCGTCCCTCCTCCACCCTGCCACTAGTCCTCCTGGCACCCCCTGCTCCTGAGGCATGCTCGTGATCCTCGTGATCATCCCGATCACGAGGATCAAGAGCATGTGCAGGCCTGCTCCTAGACCACATGATCATCATCGTCCCTCATTATCGCCAGTCTTACCGATCTTCCTCATCTCCTGCCGATCCTCGTCGTCCTCCTCCTCTCCCGTGTCCCCCTTCACTCCCTCACTCCCTGCCTCACTCCCTCGCACTCCTCCTCCTCCTCCTCCTTCTCCTCATCGAGCCTCCCCCTTCTTCTCCTCATCATCATCGCCACCACCACCGTCATCATCATCATCATCATCAGCAACAGCAGCATCATCAGCAGCATCACCACAACCACCAACATTCATCATCATCATCATCAGCATCATCATCGTCGTCATCACCGTCAACATCACCATCATCACCATCAACATCACCGTCGTCATCCTCATCATTACCACCATCACCATGACAATCATCATCACCGTCATCATCAGCATCATCACCATCACCAGCATCAGCATCAACACCATCAGTAGCAGCATCATCATCACCAGCATCAGCATCAGCATCATCATCATCATCATCCCTCCTACCTTTTCCATTATTCTCCTCCGTTCCCCATCTGCCACCCTCCTCTACCTTTTCTCTCTCTCTCTCTCTCTCTTTCTCTCTGTTCTATCGCTTTCCCTCTCTCTCTCCATCTCGTCATCTCTCGTTGCATGTGTCCCTCTCGTTCTCCCTCTCTCTCTCTCTTTCGTCTCCTTCTCTCTCTCTCTCTCTTTCTATCTTTCGCTATAATATCTTTCTCTCCCTCTCTCGCTCTCTCGTTCTCTCCCCCACTTTCTCTCTCCCCTCCCTCGCTCTCTTCCTCTCTCTCGATCATGTGTCTTTATCCCGCTCTCTCTCTCTTTCTCTCTCTATGTCTCTCTCTCTTTTTTTTTTTTCTCTCTCTCTCTCTCTCTCTCTCTCTCTCTCTCTCTCTATATATATATATCCTCTCTCGAGATGCATATCTATGTACATACATGTGTACATATCCCACCCTCTCTTTATTTATCTCTCTCCATCTCTCTCTCTCTCTCTCCTCCCCACTCCTCCGCCCATGGAGCCTTCGCGATGTCCTCTGGCTCCTTCGTGCTGCACGCGCGTCGACGGCACTGCAGCTTCGCGGCGTCGACGGCACCCTTGGAGGGAGGGGGGGGACCAGCACCCTCGTCGAACCGATGAAGAAGGACGAGAAAACAAGAGGACGAGGAGGAGGAGGAGGAGGAGGAGGGACGGAAGGATGAGCAGGAGGATTGATGATCTTGACACGATTTTCGATGGCGATGTGGAGGATTGCGAACGATGAGGATTGTGGAGGAGTAGGCGAAGGACAGAAAAGGAGGAGGAGTGGGAGGAGGAGGAAGAGGAGGAGGAGGATGAGCAGGAGAAGAAGGAGGAGGAGGAGGAGGAGGAGGAGGAGAGGCCTCGGGATCGAAGACTGGGATCCCTGCGCGGTCGCACGCCTCGTCGAAATTGAGCCCGAACTGGAAATTGTCTTCGATGAATGCCTCGATCCCACTCCTCTCCTCCTCGACCCTCCTCGGCCTCTCCGATTCTCGAACCGAAGGAGAAGGGCGATGAAGGGAAGGGACTAGGAGGAAACAGGAGGATGAAGAGGAGGAGGGAAGAGGATGAGAGATGATATCATGAGTGCGACGGAAGAGGAGGACAAGGAATGAGAGGGGAGGAAGATAATCACAAAACAAATGGAAGAGGAGGATTGAGGAGGAGGGTGAGGAGGAGGAGGGGGAGAATGAGGAGGAGGAGGGGGATGGGGGAGGCGGAGGAGGAAGAGAAGGAGCAGGAGGAGGAGGAGGAGAAGGAGGAGGAGGAGGAGGGGGGCCTCGGAGTCGGCCGCGGCCTCGGCCGCCATCTGCATGCGCAGGCGCGCGCTGGCGCGCCCTGGAGCCCGGTGTGGGCCAGAGCCAGCGTGCGCAGCGCGCGCGCCGCGCTCGAGGCGCTCCTCATCCCCCCTCCTCCACCTTTCCCTCCTCACTTTCCTCTTCCCACCCATCCCTCCTCTCCCCCTTGGGGCCAATTCGCCCCAGACAGTCCACGGCAAATATACACTGGCCATGGGTGAGCCGCAGGCGTGTGAACCTTATAATCGCGTTCTTGTACACAGTGTATGTACACATCAGTACACATGTGACCAATATGCGATAGATCTCGGCTATTGAACTGTGAACGCATATTTTTCCACTTGTATATCTGACTTCAACATGATATCATTTATACCATTACATATATATAGATGTATATCGGTATATATATATGTATATATATGTATGTATGTGTATATATATATATATATATATATATGTACGTGTGTCGACTGCAGTCGACCACAACATAATATTGCATATTCTTTTTGCACGCGCGACGTCATATGAACAACAACAAAAAATATTACACGTGCCACCCCGAAAACTAAAGGGTGAACACCAATTTCGCACTTGCATATACGAACAAACAATACGTTGCACAGTTCACACTATCAAACAACATGTAGCCTAACGCGAAAGTGTGAAGCACAACGCTTTTCGTATCGCGCGCAGTGTCCACCCCAGGCAACATGGAGTTCTATATTGTGACGCAGCGTATTTTCCTTATCTCGCGCGCGCCCTGGCGCGCGCGCTATAACAAACAATAAAGAATGCACATCTTAATTTCGAGAACTGAATGGTGAAAACCAATTGTTTCACTCGTATTCTGAGGGCCTCAGCCTGGAATTTTACATGTTGAAACAGCATGTTTCCCTTATCGCGCGCGCGCGCCGGCGCGCGGGCAATATATGGAAACAGCGTGATGGAGGCATTGGAAGTACTAGTGAAACAGCTTGTTTCCACCATTCATTTTTCAGGGTGGCGCGTGTCACCTTTGATTTTTTCATATGGCGCCTTTTGTTTTTTTGTGTTGAGCGCGCGCGCGACAAGGAAAGCGTTGTGTTTGAGGATCGAGCATTCCATGTTGAGGTCACCAGAATACGAATGAAACAATTGATTTTCACCATTGAGTTTTCGAACTTAAGATGGGCATTGCAGATATGTTGTTGTCGTGCACGCGCCAGGGCGCGCGCGAGTGCGCGCGCGTGCGTGATAAGAACACGTGCTATTCGACTATGTATATTTCCCTGCCACGGCCTTCATAATACCAGTCAAACAGATGGTTTCATCATTCAATTCTCGAATTTATCATGGAAGATTTATGTGCGTTATACAATGACATGCTTACGAACACTCAACATGTGTTGTTGTGTCTCCTTTATTTGTGTATCGAGCGCGTGTATTGTATTTGCAGAAGAAGCAGAGTTTCTACGGCCTGTTGTGATACTTGTTAGAACAACCAAGACGTTTGACAAAAAACCAAGACATCTAACAAAAAACCAAGACATCTGACAAAAACCAAGACATCGCACAATCTGGAACAAAAACCAAGACAATCCACAAAAACCAAGACATTTCGCAGCTATGAAAAAACCAATACCTTCGGATGTCTGGGTCTTCGTGCCGTGGGCGTCGGAGTACTTGGCGCAGCGGCTCGTCCGGGGCATCTACATCCAGGGCCTGCAGGATGGGCCCCCGGGGAGTTGGCCGGGCATCTGCGACGAGATCGCGCTGGCGATCGCGTTTTCCAAGACGGGCCTGTGCAGCGCAGGTTGCCGCTGCAATCACTTCTGCCCGGGGCGCCCGCTGCGCGCGGTGAGCGCGCTGGGGGAGCTGCGGCGAGAGCGCCCCCGACGGTTTGAGCGCGGTCGCGAATCACGTTTGCCGCTGTTTCGCCGCGCGAACGGCCGCGCGGTGACGCGGGGTGAATTGCAGGGGTCACTGCAGCTAGCCGCGTCGGCCTGCGGGGTAGAGCGAGACCAGATGGGCTCGCGCTCGCTCCGTGTCGGGGGAGCGACGGCCCTCTAATATGCGCGCCGCGATCTCGAGGCGGTCAAGCGCTTCGGTCGTTGGACGACGGGCGCTTTCCACGGCTTTTTGCGGGGGGGGCGCCGACGGCAGCAGTCATTCGCCAAGGGCGTGGCCCAGGGCCATGCCCTGCTGGCCCCTGACGCGAGGGGTGTAGCCGTATTCGGTGAAACCAGCGGAGGCCCAATGGCCGCCGACCCCGGCGGGGAGGGCGAGGGGCCGCGCCCGTGCGCCAGACCGGCGCGGGTTCCGGGCCGCCCGCCCCTGGGCCAAGCCGGAACGGCGGCGTGGCCGATGCGCCGACGGCGATCCGTATGTTGCCGAGTCGAGGTCGTATCAGTTCGCGTCGCTGGGTACCTCGTTTCCATCATCGGTTGCGGGGGACATCGGGCAGTGCGAGGTCGCCGAACTCGTTGAGCGTCGGGCCGAGGCGCGGAGGAATGCAGTTGTGGTTGTCGCCGATCCCGTCGCCCTCAACTCCTTCGCCCCCAGCGCGCGCCGCGCCGCAGCCGTGTCGACTCGGGTTCGCGAGGAGGCGGGCGACGGGGCCGAGGTGGGCCCGATCCAGTTGGGCGGGCCAGCAGCGATGGTCGCCATCGAAGCAGCCAGTGGCTCCGGCGGGCGGCGCCGCGGGCACGCGGGGCCAGATGCTCGCGCACGTGGCCGCGGTGGGAGTCATGGCGAACAGATTGGGGGCGCCGGGAGCGGCTCGGGGAGGTGGACGTCAAGGGCGAGTTGATGGACCTGGGCGACCCAGACCTCGATGCGGCGCCGTGCGGCGCGTGAGCTTGCGCGGCAGCCGGGAGGCCCGAGGGGCGCGGGGCCTGCTGCCTCGCGGACGGCTTCCATGCTATATGGGCAGTAGGCCTCGCGCGCAACGCCGTGGAGAGGCAGGGCGCGGCCAAGCTGGCGCAGGCGGCGGCGTTGTTTGCGGGTCTGGCTTCCCGCCGCCGCATTTTGAAGCGGGCCCCCAGCTTGCGCGAGCTGATGGCGAGCTTCGACGGCGAGGCCGTGGACGGCGCGATGGGCGCCACCCTGGCGAGGGGCATCGGCGTCGGGGAGGAGGCGAGCAACCCTGTCGACGCTAATTTGGCTATGGCGGTAGCGCAGGCGAACCTCCACAACGCTGCGGAGCCGCTTCGCCTGCAAAGAGCATCGACCCCGGCGCCCGTGCATCCGAAGGCGGGCGAGGCCAGCTGCAGAGGAGGCGGGAGTGGGCAGCGCAACCCAGCGCCCAGCCAGCCGCGAGAAGTTGCCCCGACGCGCGAGGCCCAGGAGGCCAGCCGCCCGACGCCGAAGCGCGCGCCGCGCGAAGCGCGCCCCTGGCAGCCAGGGGACAGGGCGCGCCGCAGCGGCGCGGAGGCCCCTTCCCCGCCTGAGGGCAGGCTCGAGCGCGACCGCCGCAGGGTGACGACGACAGCGCGCCCCGCAGGCACCGCGGGGCAGCCGCCGTCGGAGGCGCGAGACGGATCCAGCAGCTGTGTGCGCGGGCGAGGAGGCGGAGCGAGTGATCAGGCTGTCCTAGGCGCCTCGGTCAGGAAGTACCACCTGGAGGACTTGTTCTCTCAGCGCGGCGAAGTGGCCCACGCGTCGTTCGTCCACGATAAGCGGTGGAAGAGACAGCCCATGGCGCTCGGCGAGTCCAAACGCCACAAGGATGCGAAGGTCGCGCTGGCAGCGCTGCGCGCGGGATACAAGTTCTTCGCGAGCGACGACTACCAGGTGGCGACGCAGTGGGAATCAGAACCGCCAGCAGTGGGCGCGGGCTCGGACGGAAAGGAGAAGACAGTCCCACCGTTCCCGAACTGCGAGGCCCGCGGCCAGCAGATGGGCTGGATCACCCTCCGCTGCACGTACCATATCTCAGCGCGCAACGCTACTGCGAGCTCTTGGCGGGCGATGCGATGGCCAGGGCCCGGCCGCCTGACTCCAGCCAGGAAGGCGAAGGGGAGGGCGCGGAGGGGCGCGAGGAGCCGCCGCGCGCGAAGCAAGAGGCTAGCGATGATGAGCAGCTGGCGCAGGACCTGGACCGCCCACCGGGCACCTTGTCCCCGCGCAAGCGCGACGACCACGCGGCGCGGTCCCCGAGAAGGCGCGGCCGTTCCATCCCACGCCAGCGGCCGACCCCCGAGGGCCGCTAGACGAAGCCACCCGGATCCTATCACGCTCCGAGCGGTGGCAAGCGCGCTGGAGAGCCGCAGGGCGGCCGCCAAGGGCTGCGAGGTGAACGACGGCAAGGGCAAGCCGAGGGGCGGCAAGGCGAAGGGGGGCAAGAGCCCGCCGCGCGCGCGATGGGGGGATTCCAGCGCATGGCCAGCGTCGAGCCGTCAGCAAGCCCGGCGTGGCGAGGGCGCGGGCCACTACGAGCGCTGGGGTAGCGCGGGCGCAGGCCCCCCTCCCAGTCCAAGCTGGGCCAGGGTCCCGAGGCTTGGGCCGCGCGGAGCGCGGCGTCACAATTCGCTGGGGGGAAGAAGCGCAGCGGTGGCCCACTCCGGGCTTCACGCTCTTTGCGCCTTCGGCGCCACCTCTGCGTGGGCTACGCTGCGAACCCATCTCCCTTCTCCCCCCCCCTTCCCGTCTCGCTCGCAATGGCCCTCTTCTGTCAGGCGACGGCCGCCGCTCTCATCCGCGGGCGCGGCGGGCGCGGCGGGCCGGAGGCGGGCGCGCGGGCCCCGCCCCCGCCGGGCCCGCGGGCGCCGGGCGCGGGCCTGGTCCGGGGCCGCGAGCCGGGATCTGACATCGGACGCTGGGTTTGGGGCCCGTCGGCGCGCGTAGCGTCCGCGTCCCAGGCGGCTTCGCACTCGCCCTGCCTGGGCCGCCCGCTTTGTTTTTTCTTGCGCTCTGCTTCTCCCTCATCTTCGTCCTTTTGGGTGCCCTGCGCCCCACTCGCGCTCAGCAGCCCCTGCCCGTCGCGCGTCTGCGGCCCCGCCGAAGCAGCCCGGCGTTCGCCTGGGGAGGCTTCAATGTTGCAGGCAGGTGTCCTTCTGTGCTGCGCTGTTGGTTTTGTTTGGATGATAGCCGATGGTCAGCGAGCGTGCCGAAAGGCGCGCAGCCGTGACCGCTGCGCTCCGCGTTGAACGAGCCCTAGCTGGCTCGCGCTGGGAGTGCCGGGAGAACGAGCGCGTGGCCGCTTTGCCCGTCCTGACATTTTTCTCCTCCTCTTCCTCCTCTCTCCTCTTGTGATTAGTGCATGCGCGCCTGAACGCAACTTGTATATAGTCTGTCCTTTGAGACTGCAGGTCATGTGCAGCGGGAATGGAGACTTTTGGGTTCCCATTTTGGTCTCTGCAGCCGCTCGGGCTCGAGACCGAGGGTTTGCCCTCCCACCCCGATTCGCTCCCTTTTGGGCTCTGTCGCCGCTTGGCCGATGGGCCGGCGAGCGTGCCGAAAGTCGCGCAGCCGTGACCGCCGGTGCGCGCCGTGCTGCACGAGCCCTAGCGGGCTCGCGCCGGGAGAACGAGCGCGTGGCCCCTGTCTTAAAAATATCATCATTGCCTTTTCCCCCGTCCTGGTTATATCTCTCCTCCTCTTCCTCCTCTTTCTTCTTGCGTTTAGTGCACATGCGTCTGCACGCAACGGCGACTTCACCTTGGCAGTGTCTGCCTGAGGGAGATGGGTCCCGAGGTGCTTCGCCGCTTCTGGCCCCCAGGGCTCTTGCCTGGGCCCCAAGGCCTTTCAGAGAAGGACGCCGTATGAAAAACTGGTCTTGTGGAAACGCTTCGGTCAAGGACCCGTTCCTCAGGCGGCGTGCAAGAGGATGGTGAGGACTGGGTGGGCACGGATATCATGGCCGAGACCACCATGATGTCTCACATCTATTATGGGTTCCTTTTCCTGCCTCTCTTTTTCCACGCGTCCCGTCGCCTGTGCCACACTCGTCCGCGCACATGCCTCGAGCCTCGGGCCATGATGCCGTCATCCCTCTTCCAGGCCCTCCTCTTCGGCTGGCGCACCCGCGTTTCCTTCAGGACCCCGCCACCTCGTGCCAAGAACACGGGGGCGAAAACAAGGGCGTTGACCGAGGGCGACGGCGAGGGCGAAGACGAGGACGACGACGACGCCGAGGGGGACGACGACGAGGGAGATGCCGAAGGCCAAGACGAGGGAGACGACGACGAGGGCGAGAGCGAGGGCGAAGACGACGGCGGCGGCGACGACGACGACGACGACGACGGGGGGCGACGAGGACGACGAGGGCGCCTGCGAGGGCAGGGGCGTCCCACCCCCTCGTGAGGGCGCGGCGTCGGCGAGTGAGGCATCCCAGCGTCCTCGGCGGTATTCGGAGATTTTCGTTGGTCTGGTTGGATTCTCTCGGATCGAGGAAGACTGCCAAAAAGCATAGAGTTTCGAACGTCCGCGCAGATTTCTTGGATCGGCGCCGACCCCACTGGCAGCGCCGCGCGTTCCGCGCGCCAGGGAACGGGGTTCAGGAAGCCCGCAAGAACCCTCCGCAAATCAGTGCGAATGCAGTTCTCAAAGGCGATCGGCAATCCGTGTTCGAAACATGTTATGTTTATTCTATCGGAAGCGACTGGTCATTTCCGGATGCTTTCTGGTGGTGTTCTGCAGTGCGCAGGTGTTTCCAGGGTGCGGAGTTGATTAAGAGGCGGGGGGAGTGGGTCCAGCAGGAGGGATGGGGCTCTACCAGGAGTGACGCAGAAGGAGGAGCGAGGGAACGATGTGGCAGGATGACGGGTCTGGAGGTTCCAGGGGGGCTCTGCGCATGGGGTGGGGGGACAAAAGTGCGGAAGAGACGGGTGGGTGCGAGGAGAGGAGGTGGAGGTTTGGGGGAGGAGCAGGAGGAGGGGGAGGTGGAGGGGAGAGGAGGAAGAGGAGGAGGAGAGCCGAGGAAGGTTCTGGGAAGTAGAGGAGCTGGCTGTGAGAGGGAGGATGGGGAGGTATTGTCGAAATTTTCTACTGAGCCCTGCGTGCAATTTTTTGTTGTACGAGGCCAGGAAGGCGCCCTGCCCTGCGCCACAGGCGGGCATCGCCCGGCCCGGTGCTGGCCTGGCCCAGATCGGTGCCAGTGTACAGACAGGTGGGCCGGAGCGCTCCTGGAGGGGCATCGCCCTCGATCGGGGGGGGGGCAGTCGAGATCTTGGCGGCCTCCCCTCCCTGGCGTGCGTCGTCCTTCCTGGGCCTCCTGGAGGCTTCTCGTCGCCAGGGTTGGGTCCGCGTCGACAGGACGGACGCTGGGAGGGCTCTGGGGCCCGGTTTTGAGAGCCTTTGGGCCAGGTCTGAGAGCCGCCGTCGTCTCGTCCGGTTTTCCTCTGGCTCGTCGAGGGATTTCGACGTCGACGTGCCTTCCCTGGCGGACGGCAGCGAATGACCGGCGGAGGCCGGCGCAAGTGCTGAGAGATAAAGCATCAGTCTTTGGGGCTCTGGATTTTCGGCATGGACCAGCTGGCGTCAATCTTCTGCTCCGCCCCGCAGCCACGGCCGTCCGGCTGGCGGGCGGCTGCGGCGGAGAAGCAGTGGAGCAGCCGACGATGACGGTCATGAAGGCGACGGCGCTGCCGTCGCAGTCGTCATTGCAGTCGTCGTCGCAGTCGTCGTCGCCGGATGCTCCGCTTCTCCTCCTCGCCAAATTCGTCGTCGTTCCGCGGACGACTAGTGTGCACCGTGCTTCGTTGGCTCCCGAGGCGTCGTCAGTACTCCGCTTAACATGCTTCGGCCCTCGTAGCCGAAAAACATTGTGCACCGTGCCGCGTTGGAGCGGAGCTTGGAGATGAGTCCAAACATGGCCTGTAAGGTCCATGTGCGCTGTTGACATCTTCATCCTCGTCGCCGTCGCCTTTGTCGGGCGTCGTGTGAGGCCGCGACGGGAAGGGGTCTGGTCTGACGGTCGCACTCAGAAAGGCCCCCGCCCCCTCCTCCTCATGTTCCTCCTCCTCATCCCGCTCCTCATCATCGTCAGCATCATCACCATCAAGAGCTGGCCGCCCAGCCGTTGGCGACGACGACGGACGGCGCCGCCGCCGCCGCCGTCGCCGGCTACTCTGCTGCACCTCCTCGCCGGGCTCGTCGTCATCGTCGTCGTCGTCATCGTCGTCGTCGTCATCGTCGTCGTCGTCGTCGCTGGCTCCTTCGTCGCCAGCTTCGTCTGTCGTTGCTGGCGGCCGCGGCCGGCTCGGGTCGGCGGCAGGCGGCCCCGCGGCCTGCGCATGCGGCCCCGCGGGCCCGCGGCCCGCGCGGCCAGCTCGGCGGCCCGCTCCGCGGCGGCGGCCGCCAACGTGCGCAGCACGCCCGCGCCGCCGCGGCCGCCAGGTGGCTGCGCCGCGGCTGCCAGCGATGTTCCAGACCCCCCCCCCCGGCACGAACGGGATGGGCACGGAAAGAATGGGCACAATGCTCAACAGCAAATCCTGTTCGTTTTGAACAGGACTCGCTGTCCGCGCCGCCGCGGCCTGTGTCCATTTGAGACAGCAGGCCGCCTGCCCAACAGCGGCCGCTGTTGGCTCGGGACAAGATTTGTTGTTGGGCACTGTACGTTTTCCGTACCCATTTCGGGCGTACAACCCCCCGACGATCCTGAAGCAGTGGCGAGGCGTCCTGGCTTGCCGATGGGCCCACCAAGGAGTGCTCTAGTAACCGCCGTCAGCGTCACTGGGGGTGTTCGTAGAACACTGCTGGTAGAGCACGTTTTGTTGCAATGCATCGGCTTGATGTTCCAAGAGCATTGGTGTTGCTCTCTTGGTCTAAGAACGGTTCGTGGTAGGCCAACAGGCATGCTCGGACGGTCGGTCCCTGCTCAAACGGTCTGGTTTTCTTCGACGACGATCCGGCGTTTATTTGGTCAGTCGGCCGTCTGCCTTTGGGGCCCGTTCTCGGGCTGGGCGGCGATTTTCTGCGTCGGTCGGCCGTCGGCCTATGGGGCCTCTTCGCTTGCGAGGCCATCTAAAATGGATGCGAGACGAGAAATGTCCCTGTGGCCACGCGTTGAACAAATCGCATCGTCGGATGTCCTGGTACCTCGGGGCGCACGTAACAGGGGTCATCGCTAGTGGAGGTCGGCGTGTCTGCCTGGGTTGGGGAGCCACCTGAAGCCGACCCCCCTCCCAGCTCTGCGCTGCCCCGGGTGAGGGAGCTACTAGTATGCGGCCAGCCAAGGTTCGCGACATGGCCTTGGTTGCGCCAGGTTAGCGCTGAGCCTGGTTAGCGCGTACCCGATCATCAGCGGATCGCAGTTCGCCATGAAAGCAGGGAGGCCTGAGGGAAAATTGTTTCTGAGATTTTCCGCCGTGTTCCAGAGGAGGGCAAGTCTATTCGACAGCGGCCACCCTGGTGTGTTTGGTCCCTTCTGGGCCTCTCTCATCGCCACGGCTGGGTCCGTGTCAGAAAACGAATCAGGGTGGACCCGGGGAGGGGTCCAGTGATCGATTTTGAAAAGATTCGGGACTGGCAGGAGAATTGCCGTTGTCTCAATTGGCCCTCCTCGGAAATTCTGGTCTCTCGGCGCTACCCCCAGGCACTATAGGAACATCAAACAACAACCTGGGATATGTGAGAAAGCCCCGTGGTCGAGGTCTTGTTTCCTTCAGGACACCTGTCCTTCACGGCGATTCTTATGAATTGACGGACATGTAGGAAGCCAACCCAAAGTTGCTAGCTGAGGGCCTCGATCGAGTATTGCAGCATTGACCGCATCGGGACGGGAAGGGCTGGGATTGCTGGGATCGCTGGCCAGGGCATCTGTGAGTGGAGTCCCCGCCTGGGGGGCGCCGATCTTGCCTGCAACAGTGGGTTCTGGCACCGCACAGGGAGACATCTCCGGCGAGGCCGTGCAACAGGAATCGATCTGGTGCGGGGCGCCCCTGAGGGCGAGGTCGAGAGCCCTTGTGTGTAGACGCGCCAGCACATCGATCTCGAGTGGGACGATCATCTGGTCGAGTAGGCTGCGTTGCCGCTCTCCCAGCGGTAAGCTAAGAATGGTGCCCACGAAATGCTGCCCACGAAATAATCAATCTGGAACGCTTGGGACAGAACGCAGTCATGGGGGGTCCTTACGTCGGCTGGGCATATGACACGTTCTGGCAAGAGCGCTGGCTGGCATTGTTTACAAGGACGGGGCATTGTGTCTGACGACGTCTATACATCTCAGCTGGCCGACAGTGTCATGATAAGTGTTGTCATACCCGAAGGTCTGGACTGCTGGCAGAGATTAACCATGGACCCAAAGCGGTCGGCGGATCTCAATCACATTTGGCTGAACCAGCGCTTTCTTATATCAGATCCTGGCCATGAATCCGCAGAAGGCACCCATACACCACCACCATACCTGGCCAGGGCCATCCAGGGGATCGGGTCGGACGAAAGCGGCGGGTGGGAAAGGGGGGGTGCGAAAGTTGTTGCATGCAGCTCGTTTCGATCCCGCCGCCAGGCTGTACCCTCGATCTTCTAAGCATATATGCCTGCATGTTTCTATTTATCTATATATATATATATATATACACATGCATATGTAAAATGGTTTCAGGTGCAGCCAACAGGACACGAAGACGGTCCAAGAGAGTGCCAAGACAGCGTCAGAGAGTTCAACAGCATTCCCGAAACATTTTTGCATGTGACCCCGAAGTCTTGATGGGGCTCGAGGAAGAGGATAGGGAGTAGGAGTCCCAACTTGAAAAAAAGGGATCTCTGGATTTGTTTTCCAAGTTCCTCGGTCTTGGAGCGTTGGAAGCGGGAAAACGTGAGAAGGCGAAAAACGTCGGCAATAACCACTGGAAATCAACGATTTTACCCTCTTCGGGCTCTCTCGGGACGGTTCTCGAAGCTCTCTTGGGCTGTTTGGGGGGCCTCGTCGGATTTTTTGGGGGGCCTCTCAAGGGTCTGGGGTGTGTTGGGGGCCTCTGGGGGGTCCGGAGTCCTCTCGGAGGCCTCTGGAGGCCTCCTGCTCCCGCCTTTGGGCTCATCTTGGGCCTGTTCTGGGATGGTCTGGAGCTGTCCTGGGCGCCCCTTCGACAGTCTTGCGGCCGTCTTGGCCCATCTTGGGGCCGTGTTGGGGGCCTTTTAGGCGGTCTTTGGGCGGTTTTGGAGGCCTCTTCGGTCGTGTTGGAGCGTTTGAAGCATGAAATGGTGAGAAGGCCAACATCCCTGAAACAGAAACAATGACAATTGACGATATTAGGTTCTCCGGGCGCTCTCGGGAGGCCTCTCGGAGCTCTCTTGAGATCTCTTGGAGGCCTCCTGGGAGCCTGGAGAGCCGCCCGAAAGCTATCCTGTGTTGCTTGGGAGCGTCTTGGGCCGTTCTTTTACGTTCTGGGCGCTTCTTGGGATCGTCTTGGGCTGGCCTTGGGCGTTTTGAGGGCTCCCCGGGAGGTCGGGAAGCGCGGTACCAGGAGCGTTCCGCAGATGTTCCGGGAAGGCGTGGGGCCCCCGCGACGAGGAGGCGCGCATTTGTTGAATTTTCTGTTTAAAGATAATATCTGTTTTTTGTTTTTTGTCCGAATTCCTCGGTCTTGGAGCGTTGCAAGCGGGAAAACGTGAGAAGGCGAAAAGCGTAGACAAAAACAACTGGAAATCAACGATTTTACCGTCTTCGGGCTCTCTCGAGACGGCCCTCGAAGCTCTCTTGGGCTGTTTTGGGGGCCTCGTCGGGGCTTTTTTGGGGCCTCTCAAGGGTCTGGGGTGTGTTGGGGCCCCAGAGTGTCCACGAAGACCAGTTGCGTGCGCTGATTCGCCAACCCCCTCGTGCCGTCCCCTCCCTACCTCCCTCCCGCCGCGACAGGATGGTCCCGATGGGCCCCCGGTGGCCTCGGGGGAAGGCCCTGGCTGGGCACGCTGGCGATGTACGGTGGGCACGGTGTCGTGCCGGCGCGGCGGCGAGCTCAGCTCGGGGTCTCAAGGTTGAGTGCCGCCAGTGGCCCAGAATCGGCCGTTATTGAGCGATTTGGGCTACTGGAGAGCTGCGATCGTCCAAGGTGCAACGATCCACGCGGTGCAACCAACGCACGGGTCGATCGTCGCGACACGAGCTTGCCGTCCGGGTGCCTCCCGAGCAGCACTCCTCAGGAGCCATGCGCGGGCCCAGAGTTCCCGACACGCCTCACCGGGGGAAAGATCTGCCGCCCCGGATCCATTTTTGATCGTCCCAGGGCCCGATGATGGGCCCCAGAGGCCGAAATCGAGGGAAGGCGTCGGGACTGAGACAAATCTTCGGCACCACCCGCACATGATACTTCTACTATGGCGTGCGGCGGCCCCGCAGGAGCGGTGCGCATGCTCAGAAAAATCGTCCAGCTCAGCAATAAGCTTCGTGACGGGCGGTTCTTGACGATATACTTCTCGGGAAGAAGGATACGCTGTGAGATCTCTGTGCTGCATGTTCGTGCCTGTCCTGGGCCTGGGCCTGGGCGTGGGCGTGGGTGTGGGTGTGGCGTTGAGGGCTGGGCTGGAGAGGATTTGGGCGTGGGCGTGGGCGTGGGCGTTGGCCAACGTCCTTCCGCGTCCCAGACCCTGCAGCGTCCCACGTCACGCCGTCGGAGATCCAGAGGGCCAGCAGCGCCGCGAGCGACCGAGCGTTATCGTCGTCGAGCCCAGCCGGCGGGCCGCCGTGCGGCGCCGCGCTGGCGCGAGGCGCCCCGGAGCTTCCGCGCGCCGCCCACGTCATCGCGTGCTGCACCGAGTACCGCCAGGACCGCCCTCCCCCTCTTCCTATCCTGCTTCCTGCCTCCCTGCTCCCTCCCAGCTCCCTTCTACCCGCTCTCCCTCCTCCCTTCCTCCAATTCCCTTCTCCTGCGGGCGAGGGGGGGAAGTGAGACGGAGAAGGCCTTCTCAGAAGGTGGCGGGACTTCTCAGAAGCCCTGGCGCCTTCTGAGAAGTTTTCCGCGTCTTCAGGAAAGGCTCAGACAATTTCTCAGAAGGTCGGGGGACTTCCGAGCCCTCTGAGAAGGCCCGCCCCTTCTCACTCCCCCCCCCGTGCGCGCCGCCTACTCTCTCCTGCTCCCCGCCCCCCGTCAGGGGCAGGGATATGGGGGGATAGGCTCAGGGGGAGGTGCATCGACCCCCTATCGCCCACTGATCGCCGATAGGGCTCTGATAGCCCACCCTGCCCAGGATTGTGCGGTTTCGCTATCGGGGGCTCATCGCCGATCGATCGGCGTTGTATCGCCGATTCCAGGTTGATGTTTCCCCCCCTGTGCCAGTCACCACCTATCGTTGCCCCTCGCCCCCCTCTCATCGTCCTCTTCACTACTCCTTCGCGCGCGTTCCCGTGCGCATGCTCCACCCTGCCCCTCCTCCCGCGCGCGTGCGCGTTCTTCCCTCCTCCTCCTCCTCCTCATCATCATCATTATCATCATCCGCTCTTCTATCTGGGTCCGCCCTCCTCCTCCTCCTCCTTCTCCTCCTCCTCCTCTCCTGTACAACCGACTGGGACCACTGGTAGACAAACAGCAAAGCGTGGACCAAGCAGGCTTCAGACACGGCTACAGTACCGAAGACCACTGATTCACGACGGGGCTCTTGCACAACCAGTCAGAGGAATGGCAGTTACCACTATGGGTTGCGGCGATCTGCTTTAAGAAAGCATTGACTGTGTCAGCCACGACGCACTATGGCATTCACTTAATACGCAGCAGGTGCCGACATCTTACATCCACCTCCTCCAGCAAGCCTACACCGACCAAGCCGCTAAGTACGGTACTGACAGAACGCATTAGCAGAAAGTTCAACATCCAGCGAGGTGCGAAACAAGGAGATCCACCAAGCTCACTACTCTTCAACGCACTACTTGAACACATCTTTCGCCACACGACGGACACATGGCGCAGGAAACAGTTTGGCATACAGATGGGCCCCACCGCAGACGCCCTCCTCTCCAACCTCCGTTTTGCAGACGACGTTTTGTTATGTGCACCGGATCAGCTTCAGCTGAAATGCTTCTTGCGCGATCCCAAGATCGAATCAGCCAACGCGGCCTTGAACTACACCCAGACACAAACGGCCACTACGACCACGAACAGCCACCACGACCACGACGAGGAACAGCCACCACGACCAGAAACAACCACCACGACCACGAACAGCCACCACAACCACGACCAGAAACAGCCACCACGACCTCGAACAAACACCACGACCACGATCAGAAACAGTCTGCGCGAACGGTAGCAGCCATTACGACCACCCCCACGACCATCACGGCGACACACCAGTGTCAATGATGCGGTGTTGCACCCACCACGACCACGAGCAGCAACCAAGATCACGACCAGAAACAGCCACCACGACCACGAACAGCCACCACGACCACAACGAGGCACAGCCACCACGTCCACGACCAGAAACAATCACCACGACCACAAACAGCCACCACGACCATGACAAGAAACAGCCTACACGACCAGAAAGGGCCATCGCGACCGCGTCCTCGACTATGACGGCGACGCGCTGGCGTCCACCCAGGAATGGAGTAGTCCGTGACACATGAGGTGTCCAAGACGCGGTGTTGCACCCACCACGACCACGAACAGCCACCACGACCACGACGAGGACCAGAAACAGCCATCACGGCCACGAACAGAGCCACCACGACCGCTATGAGGAGCGGCCACCACGCAAGGAAGCAGCCACCACGACTACGAATTGCCACCACGACCACGACCAGTAACAGCCACCACGACCTCGAACAAACACTACGACCACGATCAGAAGCAGCCTACACGACCTATAAACATGCCATCACGACCACCCCCACGACCATCACGGCGACACGCCAGCGTCCACCCAAGAAGGGTGTTGCCCCGTGACACATGGAGGTGTCCATGATGCGGGGTTGCGCCCGCCACGACCACGAACAACCACCACGACCACGACCAGAAACAGCCACCGCGACCGCGAACAGCCACTACGACCACGACCATAAACAGCCTACACTACCAGAAGCAGCCATCACTGCCACGTCCGCGACCATCACGGCGACGCACCAGCGTCCACCCAGGAAAGGTATTCCGTGACACATGGGCGTGTCCATGATGCGGCATTGCGCCAACCACGACCACGTGCAGTAACCAAGACCACGACCAGAAACAGCCACCAGGACCACAACGAGGAACACCCACCACGACCAGAAACAGCACCGCCGGGTGCAGCATGTCCAGCAGCTCCACCTTGCAATCCCGAGAATCTCTCTAACAATTAGTCTACAACGGCGGTGGGCGGAGGCATGCAACATGAGCCAGGCAATAATGATTGTCACAGGTAGCCCCCCGAAACACCATGCATCACTGCATTAAGCAATGCACTGCGGTTCACACCTCCAACCCCACCTGACCTGTCGACGTCCAGCCTAACTCAGCACTCCGACCTCCAGCATCCAGCAACCGACTTTCCATTTCACCTCCGACGGTCTGCCCCCGACCTTCACCAGTTCAGCAGTCTGACCTCCATCATCCAGGGTCCGACCTTCCACATCCAGCTCCACCACTGACCTCCAGCTTCTGCCATCACAGCACTCCGACCTCCAGTCTCCGCGTCAGCCCGAGCCCAGGGCACGAGCCGCTCCCACATCCACTAATTTGCCTCCAACATGTACCAGCCCAGCAACCCGACATCCAGCATCCAGCATCCAGCATCCGACTACCTTCCACTTATCAACACTCCGACCTACACTCTTTACATCCGGCTTCTCACCGCCAGCTCCATCTTCACTAGCGACCTCCAGCGCCCACCAGCTCAGCACTTCGACATCGGGCGCCCAGCATCCGGCTCTCAACTTCCACCTCCGACGAACGAGCTCCAATCTCCACCAAACTGGCACTCCGACTCCAGCATCCAGCTTCCGATTCCCCGCTTTCACTTCTTCCTGTCGACTTCCAGTGCCCGCTGGCTCAGAACTCAGTGCTCCGACCTCGACAAACGAGGACAACGTGCACTGAGGGCCCCGGCCCCCCCGCGCAGGCCTTGACGGGCCCCGCCCCCAGCGGTGCCGCGCTCTCTCTCTCTCTCTCTCTCTCTCTCTCTCTCTCTCTCTTTTTTGCAGTTTCTCTCTCTCTCTCTCTATATATATATATATATCAGAGTGAGGGGGCCGAACGGTCATTCACTGTCCCTGGGTGCGTGGCTCAAGTGGAATTCCGCGGTGCGGATCCTCGTTGTTGTTGTTGGTGTTGTTGTTGTTGTTGGTGGTGGTGGTGGTGGTGGTGTTGTTGTTGTTGAACATTATTAATTCTAAAGAATAATTATTGTTGGGACCCCTGGTGCACGGCCCCCCTGCGCCGCCTAGGCCGCAGCTACATTTTCATCATTTTCGTGAGGAAGCCTCAGGTAATTCGATGTGATCAAGATCCGGTTGTTTTGTTCCCCCCCGCTTTCCCTTGCAAAAAACACTATAAAATGACATTTCTTGTTCTAATATAATCAAATTTCAAGAATCCCTTGCAAAAAATAAGGTAAAGTGGACATTCGCGCGCGCAAGACGAAATCCTTCCAAAAGCTTAGTGTTCGGAGCGATTTTAACATAAAAACATCAAAAAACCAATGGTTTTTCAACAAAAAAATGTCAAAATCTCATCCCGCGCGCTCTTGCGGATTCGTAGGAAACCCAACACTTTTTAAACATTTCTGTCAAACGGGCTTTTGCGAGCAACTTTTTCGAACTTCTGCGACAACGGTTGCGCACCTGCCAGGGCCATCATCCCTGTCAAATAATACCATGCGGGACACATTCGTTTTTTCTTCGCGCGCGCACGCCGAAATCTCCAAAAACCATTGGGCTTCTTAAGAATTTTAGCACCGCGCATCATAAAATCACACGAATCGCACCGTAGGTCCTCGAAAAACAGCTGCACGACTTTTCAAAATTTCCACCCGCGCGCGCTGTCCTAACAACTTCTGTGGGTGTGTACTCCACGCCAGTGTAGTAGCCACGGTCGTCCGCAGGCCACGAAGTGAAGTGTCCGAACGTCATAGGGCGGGAAGCTGGGTGTGGGTGGTGGCGAAGAGTCGTGTGGATATTTGGTAGAGCTTGCACTGCCCCCCCACAAAGTGGGGGTATTGGCTGGCGTCGCATGAAAACCCTGGCACTGGTGAGAACACTGAGCGTTCGGGTAAAGTGTTGTTTGTTTGTTTGTTGTGTTTGTTTGTTGTTGTTGTTGAACATTATTAATTCTAAAGAATAATTATTGTTGGGCCCCCTGGTGCGCGCCCCCCCCGCCGCGCCTAGGCCGCAGCCACGTTTTCATCATTTTCGTGAGGAAGCCTCAGGTAATCGATGTCATCAAGATCCGGTTGTTTTGTTCCCCCCCGCTTTCCCTTGCAAAAAACACTATAAAATGACATTTCTTGTTCTAATATAATCAAATTTCAAGAATCCCTTGCAAAAAATAAGGTAAAGTGGACATTCGCGCGCGCAAGACGAAATCCTTCCAAAAGCTTAGTGTTCGGAACGATTTTAACATAAAAACATCAAAAAACCAATGGTTTTTCAACAAAAAAATGTCAAAATCTCATCCCGCGCGCTCTTGCGGATTCGTAGGAAAACCAACACTTTTTAAACATTTCTGTCAAACGGGCTTTTGCGAGCAACTTTTTCGAACTTCTGCGACAACGGTTGCGCACCTGCCAGGGCCATCATCCCTGTCAAATAATACCATGCGGGACACATTCGTCTCTCTGTATTATGTATTGTTTGGCA